CAAAACAATTCTTTATTGTTTATCTGAGGCTCAACTTTAACTGGGTGTCCTGTACTTCATGTAGCTCCCATATCCTTTTTTTTTTTTTAAGATTTATTTATTTTTATTGGAAAGGCAGATATACAGAGAGGAGGAGAGACAGAGAGGAAGATCTTCCATCCGATGGTTCACTCCCCAAGTGGCCACAACAGCTGGAGCTACGCCGATCCGAAGCCAGAAGCCAGGAACTTCCTCCAGGTCTCCCATGCAGGTGCAGGGTTCCAAGGCTTTGGGCCGTCCTCGACTGCTTTCCCAGGCCACAAGCAGGGGTAGCTCCCATATCCTTACCTTCACCTTTCCCTCAGTGTCCAGATCGGGACAGACGAATTCCCCTGCAATTCGTGAGCTTTCCCTGAATGAGTCTCATCTTTGAGATTGGCAGCTCACTGAGGACATGGGTGAAAATTGCCTTATGTGCTTCCAGTACCTGCTGAGGGCCTGGACAGGGTGAGGATAGGGCAGGAAGGGTAGGTGCCATCCCTGGGGTGTGTGCTTCCCATCTGCGATGAGGTACCCAGGTGGCAGTGGTGGTCGTGGGTGTGTGTTTTGCTGACTGTCACACGTGGACTTGAGTACTGCTCCGTGGTTCTCTTTAGGCCTTCGTTGGTATGTGGCTGGTACAGCTTCTTCAAGTGTTGCAGGACTTGCTGACATAGGCTTTGTGGCCTGTGCTCTGACAGACACTGGAGAAGCCGGTGCTGGTTGGGGATCTTGTCAGGTATGCGAGTGTAGGCAGGAATATGTATGAGAAAGTTGGAGATGATCAGCCGTAAGAAAAATGGGCTGCAGAAAATCCCTGCAGGGCCTAGCCTGGCGGCGGGGATGAGGCCAGGGGAAGAGCTGGTGGGAAGTTTAAGGAAGAAGGAGGGGGAGGATCCCGTGGGTTCTCCAAGGGCAAGCAGTAGGATTTTCTCATCTCCCCAACAGCATCTACCAGACTCAAAAATGGTTAGTGACCCTAATTCAGCTGAAGGAAGCCAGAGAATTCTGCAGGATGTCACAGAGGACATTCACCCACTGTATGCCATGGTCCCCAGACTTTCTCACAGGCGATGAGGAGTTCCAGAAGGTTCCGGTGCAGGCAAGTGGCAGGAACTGAGGTGGATGGTAACAATCTATCCATTCACCTGGAGGAAAGGAATAAGGCCCAAGGACAAAGCAGCCACTGAGGAGAAACAGGAGGAGACCGTGGAAGGTGGGCAAAAGACAAGGGGCGGCTCTTGAATCGTTATTTCCCTGGTGGGCCATCATCTGGTTCCTAACCAGGCTTAAGCTCCTGGTCTGGGGCCCTGTGGTTCCTGTGGGCAGACTTGGGAGTGTCCCTCTCCATGGCTGCACTGCAGCTGGTGACTCTCTGAAGCCCCAGGACACAGCCCTGCTCCTCCTGCTCTCCCCGTTGTCCAGTTTCCTCTTGGAGAGTGGTGTCAAGTCCATAGCCAGTCCTCTGAAAGTCTGCCAGGAATTTGCTGTATGATCTTGGGTAAGTCACTTGGTCCTCGCTGTCTGCCTTGCTCTCCTCACTGAACACTGCATTTGACAAGTGCTGAGAGCTCAGCTTCCTGTTTGTAGGACTGCCTGCAAGGAGTCCCACAGAATGGCAAGGCCAGCCCCTTTATGGGAGCCCAGGTGAGCAGGGATCCAAGGGTAAGCCAGGGCAGTGTCAAGGACGTGGTATGAATGTTGCCCTCTGAAGATTGGCAGTGGAGCCATACAGAGGGAGCCCAGCCAGGGATCCCACGGCCATGCTACAGCCCTGGCGGAGGAGGTCCCCTTAGCAGTGGGTGCTTTGAGATGTGGAGACAGGGCCAGATCAGCCCCACACAGCCCCAAGAAGGCAGGCGAGAGATGCCAAGGACCCTGGCACCCGTGCATAGTATACAGAGGAGGCATGGCAGTGTACCTGGCTTTGTCCCCTGCCCCACATCACCTGGCCCTTCCAGCCACTGTTTGCATCTCTTACTTTCTCTGCTCACGGGTCTCTGCAACTATTGTTTCCACTAGGACCGCCTCCAGGTGACTCATCCTCCTCAACTCCACGCCCAAGGGGAGGGCAGGGCAGGGCAGGGCAGGGCAGGGCAGGGCTGGACAAGGATGTGCTGAGCCAGGCAGGGTAGGCCGCCCAGCTGAGCTGAGAGGAACACCTCCTTCTCTGGCTAGCCGGCAGCAATAACAACAACACTACCTGCTCAGGTGGGAAAACTGCACTCAGAGCCAGGTACAGGGTGGCAGAGTGGGTGCTCAGCCAGGGACCTGGGACACCAAGTGTCTTCCCATGCTGAGAAAGGACTCCGGCCCAAGTCCTCCCCACACTGGGGCTTCCTTGGCTAGGTTGGTAGCCAGGGTGGGGGCAGGGTATCAGCTGGACTGGGAGATTCCTAAGCACCCTGTAATTCTTTCTGCTCATGTGACCTTGTAAAGCGGAGTACAGATGACTTGGGGTGTGTCACAGCTATATGATTTTATAGCAAAGGCCAATTGTGGCACTGATTGTGTAGACCAGGAGATAAGTGTCATATATGTGTGTGTGCGTGTATGTCCCTGAACCATGGCCAAGGCCAGGGCCACTGTGGCCATAGCCACAGACATGGGTGTTTCTGAATATGTAGCAGCCTGCTCTGTTGCTGTTCTATAAGATTGTGCCTGCCATGGCATAATTGACCCCACGTGGATACTCTTGATGTGTGTGTACATGCATGCATGTGTATGTGTGTGAGCACATTTGCAGGTATGTAAAGGCATGTTACAGTGTATATTCCACCCTGTGGTCCTTCAGTTGTGAGATTCAGCATAAATGACATTATATGTCTGTGATTCAGTGGCATCACATGTGAAAAATGAGTACAACTGGATATGTGACGGTAGGTGGTTGAGCCGTCATTGTATGAAGGCTACGAGAAGGTTGAACCGCCACTATAGGACTGTATCTATGACTGTGCTTGGCCATCATTTCCTGCGAGTGTGAGTTCCAGAGGCTGTGTGTCCAGCCCTAGGTGAGGCTGTGGCTGTGGGGTCTTTCTCAATGACTGCATGTGAGCAAGCCTTCAACAGGGTGAGGGTGTGTGAAGCAGTGTAAATGGCATCATGTGATTCTGCGTCTGGCCACTTACAAGGCTGTGTGACACAGGTAGCAGACACTTTGTGGTTTTTTTTTTTTAAATGAGAAATATGTATTTGTTTGAAAAGCAGAGTTACACAGAGAGAAAGAGAGACCTTCTATCTTCTGGTTCACTCCCCAGATGGCTGCAATAGACAGGGCTAGGCTGATCTGAAGCCAGGAGTCTGGAGCTTCTCCTGGGTCCCCCACATGGGTGCAACAGCCTAAGCATTCAGGCCATCTTCTGCTGCTTTCCCAGGCCATTAGCAAGGAGCTGATTCAGAAGTGGAGCAGGTAGGACTCAAACCAGTGCCCATATGGATGCCAGTGTCACAGGTGGCAACTTAAGCCACAAAGCTTCGGCCTCCTCGCAGCTGTCTTCTGCCACAAGATGGATGTCCAGCTCCTCAGCCTGGCACCCACAACTTTTTCCCTCCTCTCTGGTTCCATCTGACTTCTGTGTCGTCTAAAGTACTTCCCCAGCTCCCCAGCCCCTAGTCCCCAGCCCCACCACGAGCACTTAAGCTGTGGGGCATGTCCTCCGAGGGGGTCCACTGCTGCCTCCCACATTAAATCTTTTCCCTTCCAAGTAGGGCCATCATCTCTTACAGAATCAGACAGAGGTGGGTTTAGGGGACCCTAGAGTGAGGGGAGAGGGATGATACAAAGGGGCCTCCCCATTGTCAGAATCCGCTGCTCACTGATTGTAAAGTTGCTTCCATGAGCTGAAGTCCAGGTACTGGGGTTGGCATGTGGATGTGGAAGTAGAGGAAGCTGATTGGTGAGGAGCTGGGATTTGAGGAAGCACAACTTTGGTTCATGAATTATAATTTCATCCCTTTTAAACATAGCAAGCCATTAAAAACCATAAACAAGAATGGGGCTGGCATTCCTGGCACAGGAAGTGAAGCCACCGCTTATGACACCAGAATCCCGCATGGGAGTGCATGTTTGAATCCTAACTGCTTCTATTCCCACTCCCTGTTAATGCACCTCAGAAGGCGGAAGATGACCCAAGTCCTTGGGCCCCCAGCACCCACATAGGAGATCTGGATGGAATTCTAGGCTCCTGGCTTTAGCCTGGCCCAGCTCAGGGCCATTGTGGCTACTTGGAGAATGGTCCATCAGATCTCTGTCTCTCTCTCCCTCCCTCTCTCACTGTCTCTCTGCCTTTTAAATCAATATTTTGAAAACAAAATTGTGGGCAGGAAAGTCCAGTTATCCTGAGGGCCTCAAGGAGGAATGGTTTACAGTGAAACTGGGTAGTGATATTGACCACTGACATACATGGAGCCAGTGTTCTCTTTTTTCTTTTCTTTTTTTTTTTAAGATTTATTTATTTATTTTATTGGAAAGGCGGATATACAGAGAGGAGAGACAGAGAGGAAGATCTTCCGTCCGATGATTCACTCCCCAAGTGAGCGCAACGGCCGATGCTATGCCGATCTGAAGCCAGGAGCGTCTTCCTGGTCTCCCACGCAGGTGCAGGGTCCCAAGGCTTTGGGCCGTCCTCGACTGCTTTCCCAGGCCACAGGCAGGGAGCTGGAAGGGAAGCGGGGCTGCCGGGATAGAACTGGCGCCCATATGGGATCCCGGGCGTGCAAGGCGAGGACCTTAACCACTGCGCCACTGCGCCGGGCCCTGCCAGTGTTCTCATCTTAAAGAACTTTGTTCATGTGCAGGCACTCGCAAGCCCTGGCCTGGCTTCCCATCCGAGAGCCAAGATAGGAACATCCAATAAAAGTGGCATGGTCAAGAAAGGGGCCCAGAAAAAAACAACACCTCAGACACCTGCTAAGACATGCAACTCCGCAATGCCCTTTGGGTCAAGTCAATTTCGTCACACCTACTTTCTCTCTTTGTAAAGGGCTACACCAAGGAAACCGGATCCTGGTTAAAAGTTTGTCCCTTGATCCTGGCCAGAGCCTTGAGCCTCATCCAGAAGGCCCCCAGCGGCTTCGCTCAGACCCAGGCCCCCCCACTGAATCTCCCAGCCAGCGTCCTTCGCCACTAAAACGTGCACCAGGCCCAAAGCCACAAGGTAAGTGTTTCCAGAAAGGAACAGGAAAAATGGCCTGGAGGAGGGGAAATGATAGTCAGTGGCAGAGGGCTTCTTAGGACAAGTGGGCACCATGGTCTCCGGGCCATGGCTCCTGACCTGCAGGTTTGAAGATTGTGGCCTGGGGCCATGTGCGTGTGCTGGCATCTCACCCCTGATCTGCACTGTGCCTGCCCGCCTCAGGGGAGCATCACTTGGTCGTGACAGCCATCTGCGAGGCCACCTCATGAGTTCTCCCCCTTCTTTCTTCCCCTTCCATCTCTGCAGTGCCCCCGAAGCCCAGCTACCTACAGATGCCCCGACTGCCCTCTCCACCTGAGCCTATCCCCCCTCCGCCCTCGCGTCCCCTGCCCGCAGACCCCCGAGTGGCCAAGGGCCTAGCGACCAGAGTGGAGGCCAGTCCTAGTTCTGCAGCCGTATCCTCGCTAATTGAGAAGTTTGAAAGGTGAGTTCGGTCCCTGGGGTAGGGGTGGCAGTGGGGGCCCCTGGGTGGGGGCACGGCAGGCCTGGAACAGAAAGGGATAGTCACAGGAGAGGCCTCACAGTTAAGCTCATACCCTTGCCTCCGTGTGTGTCTGCCACCCACCTCAGAGAGCCTGTGATTGTCGCCTCGGATAGGCCAGCCCCTGGCCCCTGCCCAGGTCCCCCAGAGCCAGCCATGTTGCCACAGCCACCCCTGCAGCCACCAGTGCCCCAGCTCCTCGAGGCTGAGGCCTCCCGTTGCCTGTTCCTGCTGGCTCCTGGGCCCCGGGATGGAGAGAAGGTACCCAACCGGGACAGCGGCATCGACAGCATCAGCTCGCCATCCAACAGTGAAGAGACCTGCTTTGTCAGTGATGATGGGCCTCCCAGCCACAGCCTCTGCCCCGGGCCCCCTGCCCTGGCCAGTATGCCTATGGCCTTGGCCGAGCCCCTCCGGCCTGGCTCCCAGGAGGTTGACAGTGACCTGGAGGAGGAGGACGACGAGGAGGAGGATGAGGAGAAGGACAGAGAAATCCCAGTGCCCCCGCTGGAGAGACAGGAGTCTGTGGAGGTACTTACCCATGTTCACCAAGAGGCAGGACCCTTGGGAGAAACCAGGAGAGTGGCTTTCAGGCTTATTTCTTCCCCTGGCTCTGTAGTTCTCAAAACAGCGGCATTGTTTCCAGTTGGAAGGATCGGAGTCGCTGCTCCCCCTGGTGCTACACGCCAGTCACCAAGCACTTGTCATTGTGACTTACCAAAGCTGCTGTGCAAGGTCCCCAGTGCCAGCGAAGAAGGTTGCTCTCTTGTTATCTCACAACCACTAGTGGGACCTTGGTTTTGCCATCTCTTAAGGATGGGCATGCTAGCTGGAGGCCTTTGAAGCCCTCTTCCAGGTGGAAAATCCTATGACTCAGCAGCTGTCATAGGAAAGCTCTTTGGATGTGACTTCTCATTTTACAAATCAAGAAATCGAGGCTTGTGGTGGTGAAGCAGAGAGGGAAGCTATGTGCCCTGTGCTTTCCTGACGGCTGGAGGCTGGTGAGGGGGAGGGGAGCGAGGGCAAGTACCCTCTAGGAACCTGTGGCAATGGAGATGAAGGTTTTTGGCAGCAGGAACCTTCTGCACTCCAGCAGCCCAACATTTTTTTTCCTGTTTCAAAGATTGATTTATTTTTATTAGAAAGGTAAATGGATAGAGAGAATGAGACACAGAAATACAGAAAGATCTTCCATCCACTTCTGTTCACTCCTCAAAAGGCCACAGTGGTCAGAGCTGAGCTGATCGAAGCCAGAAGCCAGGAGCTTCTTCCAAGTTCCCACACAGGTGCAGGGTTCCCACAGTTTGGGCCATCCTCTACTGCTTTCCCAGGTCATAAGCAGAGAGCTGGATGGGAAGTGGAGCACTTGAGATACAAACTTGCACCAATATGGGATCCCAGCACTTGCAAGTCAGAGGATTAGCCAGTTGAGCCATTATGCCAGGTTCTGCAACATTTCTTCAAAAGGCACCCCTGCCCCTGAATTTGGTCTTCTCCGGAAGGCCTGTTCAGCTGGAACCAAGGTCCAGCGTGGGGGTTGAAACCAGGGACTGCTGGGATGGCAGCAAATAGATGGCTAGTGAGTAGGACGCCATACCAATAGGCAGTGAGTTTTATGTAAATTTATCCTTTTGTGTTTCTCTCACACCCCTGGTACTCTGCAAGCCTTTGCTGAGAATGGACTGAGTGGGTACATAAATAAGTACCATTCATAGACTCTTTGGCCTGCAGTCTGCTCTTTTTTTGTTTATTTTTTTTGTTTTATGTTTTGGTATGAAACCAGCTCATGATCTCCATCACAAATGCATTCGGATGCTGTGATTATCTCTTCAGGGTAGTTACATAGCTTTGGCAAGTTAGTGAATGGTAGAGGTTGGACTTGAACCCAAGAACTCTTGACTGCTCAGCTCACTTGTTTAACTAGTGTACTGTGCGGAAGGAATGGAAAGAGTAGATGAGGGGCCTGTGGGGTGGGGTGACTAGGAGTTGGAGGGAGTGTGTGCCATCAGGGTGGAGAGGCAGGCGTGATGATAGGCTGAGGAGGGCCAGGAGGAGGGGTAAGCCGTTGGGGTGGCAGTGGGCTTGGCACAGGAGCTGTTCTGACACACTTGAGAAAAGGTTCAGGTAGAGGATGTTGTGTCAAGGGACATCTCTCCCTTTTCTAGTTAACGGTGCAGCAGAAGGTCTTCCACATTGCCAATGAGCTCCTGCAAACAGAGAAGGCCTACGTTTCCAGACTCCATCTCCTGGACCAGGTGAGTGGCCCTTTGGCACTTGACGGTAGGTCCCAAGGAGGAAGTGATGGGGCCTGAGCCAAGCACCACCTCTAGGGTCAGAACCTAGAAGTGATAAGACCCTTGTTGGACCTGGAAGCCATCTTGTCGACAAAGGACAACTGTGGCTATGATCCTGAACTTGGTCCTTGTACCAACCCTCAGTCAAATCCTACGCAGTTAGACCAGCAGTAACTAAGTCTGACACTAATGCTTCCACTGACCCATGGCCTCAGTTTATCCAGGCTGTGAACCTCATCCTAACTGTCCTGATTCCTGATCCTCAGCCCAGTACAATCCCTGAAAGTAGAGATTATTGTCTGTTTTGTTCACTGCTCTATTCCAGCCACCAGGCAGTGTTTTACAAAGTATAAACCCAACTGTTATTTAATAAGTGGATCTAGTCTCTCTCTCTCTCTCTCTCTCTCTCTCTCTCTCTCTCTCTGTGTGTGTGTGTGTGTGTGTGTGTTAGGATTTATTTATCAGGGAGCAGCATTATGATGTAGTGGATTAACTGTTGCCTATAGTACTATAATCCCATATGAGTTCCCATTTGAGTCTTGGCTGTTCCACTTCCCATCCAACTTCCTCCTAGTGTTCCTGGGAAAGCACTAGAGGATGGTCCAAGTGCTTGGGTTCCTGTGTTCCTTAGCTTTAGTCTGGTTCTTTATTTGAAAGGCAGAGTTACTGAAAGAGAAAAAGATAGAAATCTCCCATCTGCTGGTTCACTGCCTAAATGGCTGCAACAGCCAGAGCTGGGCCAAGCTGAAGCCAGGAGCCAGGAGTTAGTTTTGGGTCTCCCATGTGGGTGCAGAGGCTCAAGCATTTTGGGCCATCTCCTGCTGCTTTTCCAGGTGCATTAGCAGGGAGCTAGGCTGGAATTAAAGCAGCCAGGACTGGTGTCCGTATTGGATGCCAGGATCCCATACCGATCCTGGAGAGCTTAGAGCAGGTGGAAGCTGTACCTTCCATGCCCCAACACTGGCTTTGAATGGATCTATTTCTTTCTGTCTGGCCCTGAGTCAATTTCAGACTTTGACCATGGTCCTGATTTCTCATTCTAATGCCTAACTCTAGGTCCTGCCTTGATAACCTGAAATCTATCCCCATAAGTAGCCCTAACTGTGCCCTCTCAGTCTCAAGACAAATGCCAACCCTAAAGCTTCACAGGACTGCCCACCAGCAAACCCCCCCCCCCACACACACACGTACAAACACTGGCAAGCTGTCTGTTCCTCAGCCAACACCCAGGTCCAGCTGGGCTAAGCATTCATGCCCTGCCCCCCACAGGTGTTCTGTGCCCGGTTGCTGGAAGAAGCTCGGAACCGCAGTTCCTTCCCCGCTGACGTCGTCCACGGCATCTTCTCCAACATCTGCTCCATCTATTGCTTTCACCAGCAATTCCTGCTTCCTGAGCTAGAGAAGCGCATGGAGGAATGGTGAGGGGCTCCCTGCCAGGTTGCCCCCTCTCTGACCGAGCCCAGGCCCACAAGGATACACAGGATTTGGTTCCTGCTTGCCTTGTACTCTTCCTGACTTTTACAACAAGAGAATCGGGCCCAAGCTCTACCTTCTAGGCCCTCCCAATCTAATGCAAAACAAGCATGAGGGCTCAAAAAATGACAACTGATAGCAGAGCCCTTAAGACTTTAAGATTAGGAATCAGTTAGCTGGATGCAAATTTTGGCTCTGCCATTTGCTAATTTTCAACAAATTTCTCACCTTGCTTTGCTTCAATTTCCTCACCTGTACAGTGGGAATAATAACAGCCTACCTTGTAGGGATGTTGTGAGTTGATGCAGTTAGAGCTTAGAGCAGTACCCAATATAAAACAAGTGCTTAATAAAGGTGAGCTGCTGTCGTGTCTGTCAGTGCTGTGAGACAGGGGAGAGTGGCAGGTCTTAGAAACCCACACCAAGGGAGCAAGGCGAGTCTGGGGCTTTGGGGAAGCTTCAGGGAGGAAGTCGGGCCTGAGCCAAGTGGCCCTGGGCATGGCAAGGCAGTGCTGAGTCCCGAAGCACAAGAGCAGGGTTTGCGGGCCTTCTCTCAGCCCCGGGGTTCTGGCTCTCCAAGCCAGTCTTTAACGCTTCCATTACTTGCTAGAATGGTCTTCCTAAATGACAGTCAGCCCATGGCACTTGCTCACTTGCTACTTTAAATCATTTCTACATTGCCCCCAGCTGCAGGGTAAAGTGTGTTCCTCTCCCTAGAGTGTGATCACGGAGGGCTGGCCTGAAGACTGGTTGGCATGCCTGTCTGCCAGCCTGGGACCTCGCCCCCCAAGGGCTGGCACTGGGTCTCATTTGTCTTTCTCCCACGTCAGGCTGTGACAGTGAAGAGCACTCACAGGGTTGGTCACTTTGCTACCCAGACAGTGAGCTTCTTCATCACTCAGCACAAGACTGGGCACGGATCAGTAATCAGGGTTTGAATTGACTTTTGCAGCCAGGGCAGGGAAAGGTTTCTAGGCCATGTCATTCCTGGTGCTTAGGAGAGCAGAATTGGGGCAAGTTGGGGCCTAGGCCCAGGCCTCAGGTCCAACCGGCCCCTAACCAAGCAGTGTTTCCAGAGGAGCAGAACGACTGAGGAGTGGGTTTCCAGCACTAAGATGAGCACACCTCATCTTGGAGCATACCCAGGAGATAAGGTTCAGCTAGACCATGACGGTCCCTGCTCTTCCCCAGGGACCGCTACCCACGCATTGGCGACATCCTGCAGAAGCTAGCGCCCTTCCTCAAGATGTATGGTGAGTATGTGAAGAACTTCGACCGGGCCGTGGAGTTAGTCAACACCTGGACCGAACGCTCCACCCAGTTTAAAGTCATCATCCATGAGGTGCAGGTAGGTTGCGTGGAATGGCCTGGGGGAAGGAGGAGCAGTCTGTGAGGGGAACATTGGGTGGACTGGCAGCCTAAACAGAGCTCTTCTGCTTCTCCACAGAAAGAGGAAGCCTGTGGCAACCTGACACTGCAGCACCACATGCTGGAGCCAGTGCAGCGCATCCCCCGCTACGAGCTGCTTCTCAAAGACTATCTGTTAAAGCTGCCCCACGGCTCCCCGGACAGCAAAGATGCCCAAAGTAAGTGTGTACACACCTAGGCCCTGCCTTCCTCCCCAGCTCGGCTAGCCCAAGGGTGGGCCTCTGAAGCAGGCCTGAGTGGGTATCTGTGTGTGGGTGGGTATGTTCAGTTTGAGAGCTAGGGTGTTCCCGTCAGATGGTTCACTTCCCAGGTATCTACGATAGCCAGGTCTGGCCTTGGCTGGGCCAAATCTGAGAGTCAGGAGCCCAGTCCACGTCTGCCATGTGGATGGCAGGGACTCGACCACTCGAGCCTTCACCACTGCCTCCCAGAGTCAGTGTTTGCAAGCAGTCGACATCACAAATGCACTCTGTCATTGCTGGCCGCCATGGCCCCTCCCCATTCAGCCATGCCCAGGACCAATCAGAACAAGAAACAGCCTTCCATTACATTGTCACCTGATGGAGATCCCAGAGTAGGATCTCCAAACTAGAAGGTCTGTGTTGAGGCTGTGAGGTGAGACTGCAGGGTGAAGCTCCAGGTGGAAGGCTCTGCCTGAGGACCAAGAGAATACTCGGAAGGAGAGCTCAGGGGGAACTTCCCAACTGGGAACTTTGAGTGTGAAGGGCAGAGCTTGTATGTTCACATAAAGGGAATTAACCCACTGCCAAGGTCAAGTGCTCAAGTTGAGTCCTAGACTTATCCCCAAAATGATGTTGTGTCCACTAGAAATTTAAGCTCAGCTCAAGGACTGAACCAACAGGGTGAGAGCCCAGTCTGGCCCTGCTCCCTGAGTCTCCCTGGCTGAGCTCCTCAGCAAAAACCCTGTCCCATCAAACTCCTGGTCTTCCAGCCTGCATCTTGGGAACTCCATTCCGTGTGTGCCAATCAGTATCCTGGATAAACCTCTCCCTGAAGAAGCTCCATGCCTGATCAGAACTATGCAGAATTGGCTCTCCACAACTGAGCACCCCAGGCTGGGTCACCTATTTTCTGTCTGTCACGTTTGAATCTCTAGGATGAGATCCCTGCTCCCCAGACTGATGCCTTACACACTGAGCCACTAGGAAAGGATTTTCTCTCTCTCTTTTTTTTAAGATTTATTTGTATTGGAAAGGCAGATTTACAGAGAGGAGGAGAGACAGAGAAAAAGATCTTCCATCTGCTGATTGACTCCTCAAATGACCACAATGCCCAGACCTGAACTAAGCCAAAGCCAGGTGCCTCTTCCAGGTCTCCCATGCAGATGCAGGGTCCCAAGGCTTTGGGCCGTCCTCAGCTGCTTTTGAGGCCACAAAAAAGTGAGGCCACAAGCAGTGAGCTAGATGGGAAGTGGAGAAGCCAGGGCACAAATCAGCACCCATATGGGATCCTGGCATGTGCAACAGGAGGATTTAGCCACTAAGCCTTTGCATGAAACCTGGGAAGGATTTCCTTTTCACTCCTTAATTATCAGCCCCACTCCTATAAGGTCACATTGCTCTATGGAGGTTCCCAGAGTGTACCCTGCTTTCTCATCCCTGACTTTTGTTTTCATTCAGTCATTCTTTTATTATTATTTTTAAAGATTTATTTTATTTTTGTTTTTATTGGAAAGTCACATATACAGAGAGGAAGATCTTCTGTCTGATGATTCACCCCCTCAAGTGACCATAACGGCCAATGCTATGCCGATCCAAAGCCAGGAGCCAGGAACTTCTTTCCAGGTCTCCCATGTGGGTGCAGGGTCCCAAGGCTTTGGGCTGTCTTCGACTGCTTTCCCAGGCCACAAGCAGGGAGCTAGATGGGAAATGCAGCTGCTGGGATTAGAACCAGCGCCCACATGGAATCCCAGCACGTTCAAAGCGAGGACTTCAGCTGCCAGGCCATGCCACCGGGCCCCATTCAGTCATTCGTTACTTTGCCAGCCAGTTACTGAGTCCCTCATGGTGTTCTGGGCATTGTTCTAGGAACTGGGGATAAAAAGGCGAACAGAACAGACAAGATCTTTGATCTCAGGGGGCACACCTTCTAATGAGGAAGAGAGAGTAAACCAAAGTAACAAATATACAGGGAAAATAAGGTGCTAGGTATGTCAGAGAATTAAAACGAGGGTGATTTGGCAGTGACTGGAGACCCTCCTAAATAGAAAGCATGTTAGTCCAGCCCTGAAAAACAGGGAGAATGTAAGCACCAATTAAGAAGAGCATGGTTCCATGCAGAGGCAACAGCCAGGACACAATTCCCTAAGGCAAGCAGGAGCTTGGGATTGGGGTGGGGGAGGCGGTGACCATACTGAGCTCTTGTATGATCTGAACATTACCAGGAGGGTAGGATGACAAAAGAAGTTTGAGCTGAACAAGGCCAAGATAAGGAGCTGGCTTTTAGTCTGAGAGTGGTAGGTAGCCAGGAGAAGATTCCAATCTGGGTTACTTCTGAGCAAGAACAGGAACCAAGGGATAAGTTATAAGGCTTCTTCAGTAATCTAAGAAAAGTTGGAGTGTGTGAGGAGTTCAAAGTGGTAAGAAACGGTTAAGGTGGATGTATACTGTATTTGAAAGAAGCATGGAAAAGATTAGGGTAGAATGGGTACAGAGCTTGGGAAAAAAAAGTCAAGAATGATATGCTGCGTTTTGAGTGCTTCCTAAGTTCAAGAATTTAATTTTGGACTTGTTCAAAGTAAGCTGCCAGTTGGGTAGTTAGATGAGCCTAGCATGCCAGGAATGGCATTAAAATGCCGTTATGGTTAGCAGTGGCATATAGACAGTAATCCAAGCCAGGGCTAACGAGCACAACCACCACAGGGAGAGAATGCAAATGGCTGAGAAAAGGGATCAAGAAGGTGGAATCACCCAAGGAGACTTAAAAGGAGGTAGTTGTACCCACTGTTAGTCAACTTGCCAAACTCAGTCCTCTCCACTTCACTAGATGGGACCTTTTGCTACCAATCCTAGACTTCTAGAAAGAGCTAGAGCCCTAGGAAATTTGATAGCTGAGCTCCACAAAGAAGGCATCTAGTCAGTAGTTCATTCTTGCCCCTGCTGCAGTTTCACAATGAGCTTCATCCCTTGAACTGCTAGACAGAACCTTCCAACGTGATTCCCTGGGTGAGTGTCAAGGACTGACACCTCCTACCTCAGCACTGGGCTACATCCAGTGAGGCTCCAAGTTAGAAATTCCCACAACAGTTCCTCAAAGCAGGATGCCCAGGCGAGGCTTCAAGCAGATGGTGCCTACAGTAAACACTAAGTGGACTCCCAGTCAGAGCCCTCTACCTGAGGCCCCAGATGGAGAGTGTCCCAAAAGAGCATCCCAAGCCTGCTCCAGATTCCAGTTTGTTCTCCCGAGCCCAAGTCCTCCTGACTAAACACCCCTATGTTTCATCCACCATATGGAGAGTCCTTTGCCCATGCCCAGACCGATGCCCTAGATTGTCCCCACACAGGCTGAGTCCAGCAGACTGATGGCTCCAACTTGGGCCCTACACTAAGCCCTGAGAAAGCCATCTTCCTGCTTTGTTGCAAGCCACCATCACATTTCATACAGAACCACATGTCTCCATGGAGCTTCCTGCACTCAGTGCTACGGTTTTATTTCCATATTCAATCCCCTGCATGGCATTCCTAGACAGAAAATCCCTAAATGAATTCCTTGGATAGAATTTCCAAAATAAGCAGCCACTGTAAGCTTCTTAGACTGGGCCTCGGCTGGGGTCCCTTTTGTCAACTTTGCGTGAAGCTTTTCAGCCTTCCTTGCCTCATAGAGTAGTTTTGAGGCTTGGGATGTTCTGGGTAGAGCTTTTAGCACGAGTCTGGCTCATGGCAAAGAGGCTCAGTAAAGGCCACTTTCAGTGACTTGAGTGCCCTGGCTGGCACTCTCTGTGTGACCTCCCCACCCTTCCACAAAAGCAGCCAGCCCCCAGATGGTTTACTCAAGTGGACCACCTAGATTTTATTGAACTTCGTGTTTAATTGACATTAGAGTACAAGGTTTAGGTGACTACTAAACGAATACTTAAATAAATCAAAAGTTAAAAAAACACTCAAGAGCAGGAAAATAGACAAGGGCCCTAAGCAATAACCAAAAGAAAAGCTGTCCAACTTCTCTCCTAGAAAGTAAATGTTTGAGGAGTTATAAAGGCATTAAAAAGGCATTAATTCCTGTCAGTTTATCTGACAGATTTAAAACCAAGTTCAACGAAAAAATTAAGAGCAAAATGGATACACACAAGCATTCCTTTTTTTTTTTTTTAATTTTAGTTCCCACCTATAAGTTAACTTCTTGTTTTATACCAATCCCAACCTTAGTTGAGCCCCTAGAATGCTCCTCAGAGCTTGAGCTTGGCCAGTCAACCTCTCACATTGAGCCCAACAATGAAACCCTCAGAAAGAACTTCCCCAGCTGGTTTCCTGGGCGCTCGGAATGAGAATCCCTGCATGTGAACCAGCCCAAGATGCTTCACTGAGCTCCTTGATTTTTCCCTGAGACTAAAATCCCAAGGCTGAGCTCCAGAAAGTTCTTTCAGGTCTGAGATGCACTGAATCATCTCTCTGATTCCTCAGACTAAGACTCACACATTCCATACCCTAACCTCAATTCCAGAGGTTTGACACTAGACTTAGTTCCCCAAACCAGGCAAGCTAGAACTCCTGACCTCCACTGTCCATGCTGAGCCCAAAGTTGGACTCGGCCCAGAGCCTACACTGAGAAGTCCAGACCAGCCCCACTAAAGCTTGCAGACCAAGCTGTTACACCACACTCCCCAAATCCTGAGCTAACATCTCCACGTTGAACCCCAGAGCTTGCCCACGCTGGGCTGGAAATGCCAGTCTCTGCCCCACATGAGAGATCTGCAAGCAAAGCTCCCTGTAACCAAATCTCGGCCCAGCAGCCTACACAGGCCTGAGCTTGTGTGCCTACAGCTTGCCAAAAACTTCCTGTCCCCTTCACTAGGCAGCTTCTACCTCCACCAGCTAGCAGAACAGCACCAGGCACGCATTCTAGGGCGCCCACCTTCTCTGAGCCTTATCTTCCTTACTGGACAAATGAGCCACAGTAATTTATGGAAAATATCTGCTGAAAAATCTTGCACAGGGTAATGGGACTGTGGCCCTGTCAAGTGGGACACAAGGGAGGAATGGGGAATGGGGAACTGTGAACCCAGACCGAGTCCTGACCCAGCCTGGGAACTCAGGGCAGGCTTATTGGAAATGGGGAGCTGAATCCAGAAAACCAAGTGGCAGTTGGCCAGATGAAGCAAGACGGGGCATGTTCAGGGTGATACGTGTGGAGGAAGCTGGTATGGTCAGCAGAAGCCAGATCACCAAGGACTTTGAATGTCAAGCTAAATCGCTGAGTCTTAACCCTGCAGGCAAAAGGGGAGGGAGCTATTGACCGATCTAAGCTGAGAGACTAAAAGCTGTGCTTGAGCGATAGCACCTTCTAGTAAAGTGGATGTTAAGAGGGCCTAGAAACTGAAGCCTGGCACATGAACAGGGCAACTGGAGGCCTGAGCTGGACAAGCAGGTGTAGATCTTCTTGAGGACCAAAACCTGGTCACAAAGGGAACCTTCTAGGAGGACGAGACTTAGTCTTGGGGCTGGTGCAGTGGCTCAACTGATTAATCCTCTGTCTGCAACCGCTGGCATCCCATGTGGATGCTAGTTCGTGTCCCAGCTGCTCCACGTCTAATTCAGCTCCCTGCTTATGGCCTGGGAAAGCAGCAGAGCATGGCCGTTGGGACCTTGCACCCAGCTGGGAGAAGCTCCTGTCTGCTGGGATCTGCTCAGCTCCAGCTGTTGTGGCGATCTGGGGAGTGAACTAGCAACTGAGATATCTCTCCCTCTGTCTCTCCCCCTCTCTTTTTATAACTTTGCCTTTCAAATAAATAAGTCTGAAAAAAGAAAAACACATATTACAAAAGCACTATGCACAGATTCCAAGTTTATTTGCATGGAAATAACTATTTTCATTCAAATTTCTATAAGCTTTTTGACATATCCATATGCATTCTTGCTGATATTTTCCACAAATATTTGACAGAATAAAATTTGTTTATGCAAGTTTTATTCATAAGAAACCTTGAGGGCCTGGTGCAGTAGCCTGGCAACTGGGGTCCTCCCCTTGGGCATGTTGGGATCCCATGTGGACACCACTTCTGATCCCAGGAGCTCTGCTTTCTGTCTAGCTCCCTGCTTGTGGGGCAGTCGGGGGCAGCCTAAGGCCTTGGGATCCTGCACCCATGTGGGAGACCCAGAGCAGGCTCCTGGCTCCTGGCTCCGAATCAGCTCAGCTCTGGCCATTACGGTCACTTGGGGAGTGAGTCAACAGACAGAGGATCTTCCTCTCTGTCTCTCCTCCTCTCTGTGTATCTGACTTTGCAATGAAAACGAATGCATCTTAACAACAACAAAAAAAAGAAACCTTGAACATTTTAAAAGTTCTTAAAGACCCTACATTGGTGCCATTTATAAATGTTGGTTTGTATTTCGTTATGTGAATGCACCATAATTTATTTTAACTGAACCTCTATAATTTTCTAAGTTTATAAATTTCTAGTTTGGTATTGCTATAACACACCTGCAATGGAAATGTATTTGTAGATGGAATGTGTATTTTCAAATACAAATGCCTATATTCCGAATTGTTGAGACAAATGGGATCACTTCTTTGTTTCTTTCTAAAGGAAGGACTTTTTGTAAAGATTTGTCTGGCTATTTATTTATTTAAAGGCAGGGTGACAGAAAGAAAGGGAGAGACAGAGGGATATCTTTCATCTGCCGGTTCAATCCCCAAATGGCCACAAGCAGCTAGGTTTGGGCCAAGCTGAAGCCAGGAGCCTAAAACACCATCTAAATGTCCCACATGTGTGTCAGGGCCTAAACACTTGGGCCATCTTCTTTGGCTTTCCCAGGTGCATTAGCAAGGAGATAAATTGGAGGCAGAGCAGCTGAGACTTAAAGCCACCACGTCTGATATGGGAATGTCAGAGTTTCTAGTAGTGGCTTCATCCACTGTGCCACAACACTGGCCTTTAGAATAAGAACTTTTCTTGTTTTTGTAAGGTTTGTTTATTTTTATTTGAAAGGCAGATTTACAAGAGAAGGAGAGACAAGGAAATATCCTCCCTTCCTTGGGTCACTCCCCAAATGGCCTCAATGGCTGGAACTAAGGCGATCCAAAGCCAGGAGCCAGCAGCTTTTTCTGGGTCTCCTACATGGTGCAAGGCCAAAGGACTTCAGCCATCCTCCACTGCTTTCCGGCCATCAGTAGTGAGCTGGGTGGGAAGTAAAACAGCTGAAATAAAAACCAGCATTCACACAGAATGCCAGAACTTGAAGATGGAGGATTAGCCTATTGAGCTACAGTACTGGCCTCACAATAAAAATTTTTAAATCTTTTTTATTTATCTTGTGAGGCAGAGAGATGATTACACAAGAGTCTTCAAAAAGTTCATGGGAAAAGGCATGTTCCAGAAAAACTGCATGGGTTTCAATTGTGTCTATACCAGAATACACTGACCTTTCAATTCCATTGTATGTGAACTCTCAAAAACATCTGTCTATGTACTTGAAAGTCAGGACGGACAGAAAGAGCAGGACAGAGAGCGCGCCTGTCCACTGGTGTACTGTTATAAAGCACTTAACAGCGAGGGCCAGCCCAGAACTCAGGCCAAGGCTCCCACCTCGGGGTGGGGTGTGCACTCTGGGACTTGAGCTGCGACCTGCGGCCTCTTGTGGTACACATTAGCAGGAAGCTGGAGCCAGAGCCGGCACTGCAAGCAAGCACCCCAGTATAGGACATGGGTTTCCCAAATGGCATCTTAACTGCCAAACCAAACAGTTGCCCCCTCCAGGAATATTCTTGAAATACCCTCATAAAAGTAGCACACACAGGGGTGGTATGCATGATGACCAAACGGGCTAGTTTTCCACCCACCAACACCAACATCCCATATGGACATCTATTCATGTCCCAGCTGTCCCACTTCCCCTCCAGCTCCCTGCTTGTGGCCTGGGAAAGCAGTCAAGAGGACAGCCCAAAGCCTTGGGACCCTGCATCCACATGGGAGACCCAGAGGATGCTCCTGGCTCCTGACTTTGGATCGGCTCAGCTCAGCTCAGCTCCAGCAGTTGCAGCTACTTGGGGAGTGAACTAGCAAGATCTTTCTCTGCCTCTCCTTCTCTCTGTAAACCTGCCTTTCCAATGAAAATAAATAATAAAATCGTAGTATACATTTTTGTATCAAAAGCATGAAAAATACAGAAACATCTGAAGAAGACAATAACACACCCATAGTCCCACCATCCAGAGACAATTTGTTACACATGCATGCTTCTTCCAGTTACTTACATAAAACTCTTGTTACTATTCATGATCATAATGATCTTGGCAAGTTTGCATTTATCAAATGGCTGTCATTTGTCTCCCGGACTGATTTCACTGTTCGGCCATTGAGGTTGTGTTTGACTTTACATGATGTTGTTCTGGAACTTCTTGAGGCCAGCACTTTCTGAACACGGCAGAGCGGGGGAAAGGGTGGCATGGTGTGTGGTGGGATAGGATGAGGACAGGAGGAGGGTCTCCAGGAGGGAAGAAACCGCTACGAACCTGCTCTCTTCTCGTTGCCCATGTGACATCACTTCTGTGCCCACAGAGTCTCTGGAGCTGATAGCCACAGCAGCAGAGCACTCAAATGCTGCCATCCGCAAAATGGTGAGTGGCCCTGCCAGCCCTTCCCCTCCCGCTGGTCACCATGTGTCCTTGAGTGTGGGAACTTTGCGACTTGGGTGGGTGGGGGTGGAGGGACCTCCGAGGGGCAGTGGGCATCCCAAGCCTTTATTGCCTTTGGCTCGCTGTCTCCTCCCAGGAGCGAATGCACAAGCTGTTGAAGGTATATGAGCTGCTGGGTGGGGAGGAGGACATTGTCAGCCCCACCAAGGAGCTCATAAAAGAAGGTCACATCCTCAAGCTGTCAGCAAAGAATGGGACCACCCAAGACCGATACCTCATACTAGTAAGTGCCACCTGTGGGCTTGTGCGTGGGTCATGCCCTGGGGCACGTTGCCCTGGTCCTCATCCCACTGTGCCTCCTGAGAGCCTCTCTTCCCCCTAGGCACTCTGTTTTCTCTAACTGCACTTAGGGCCCTTTTCGTTTTCCCCTCAGCTGGCATGACTAAAGCCTTAGAGAGGAGGGACAAGCCCAAGGTCACCTAGTAGAAAGTCAGTCTTGTGCCCAGGCTCTTGCCTTGCCACCCATGTGCCCGCTCTGGCCTTTTCTCCGCCGACTCCCTTGAGTCCTCAGAAGTAAAGCTTGGGGTAGGAAGCTGGGCCCCACATCCTCCAGGTCCTCCCTGACGGCCATCCCAAACCTTTTCCTTTCTAGTTCAATGACCGCCTCCTTTACTGCGTGCCCAGGCTGCGGCTCCTTGGCCAGAAGTTTAGCGTGCGGGCACGCATTGATGTAGATGGCATGGAGGTGAGCACCGGGAGATGGGAGAGGGGTGCGCGGTGTGGAGCGCTGGGTGGCGGGCGCAGCACAGACCTCTGCAGAGCGCAGAGGGCGCTTCAGCACAGCCCTTTGTCTCTGCCACAAGCTGAAGGAGAGCTCCAACCTCAATCTGCCTCGGACCTTCCTGGTGTCGGGAAAGCAGCGCTCCCTGGAGCTCCAGGCCAGGTACGGCCCTTGCCCACGCCCTCTCTAGCCCCCTCTGCCTCAGCCATTCCAGACCTACAGATGGTTCCGGATAAAAAGTGGGCACCTTCTCCCACGCTCCCAGTCCACCCCCTAAGAGATACAAGCTTGCTCTTCAGCAGTGGGGGTGACCCCTAAGGGGTAGCCTGCATTCCAACTTGGGGTGAGTACTTGCCGAGGTGGCGAAGGCGTCCCTTCCTGCCTTACGGAGGACAGATAAGCCCCCGCCTCAATCAGAACCAGCATTTTGTTCTGGTGGGCTTCATTACAGAAGGGGGACTAAACCAGTAGTTTATTGTAGGGTCAGAGATGGGAGACAAGTAATATCCACAAAGCATGTTTTGGGATGGTCGGGGAAAGGTGCGTGAGAACCGCTCACTAGAAACCACGGAGTTACTGCTGCCTCTGAGATGTAGCAAGGTGTGCTGGGTACATACGTTCATCAAGGCTCACCGAGCACGTAGTATTTTCATGTGCGTAACTTCCCTTAAAATGGTTCACTGTCTAAAAACCACTTATTTATACACACGTATTTATTCACAAAAGTGCTTCCAAAAGTTCCTGGAAGATACAATTAAAAGTTTGTTTTTATGCAAGAAAAGCTTGGAATCCCTGTACTTTTTCCTAATTTACGTTTTCATATACCTCTCAAAGACATGTAGACAAACTTACACATGGAAGGAACACAGTAGGACTGTTTCTGAAAACTTCCCATGTACTTAGGGAGTGGAGACTGACTGTGCTCGGGCTCTCCTGCCTGCTTTTTGAGAGTTTTCATAATGCCAGTTTTTAAATCATAGCATGAGTAAATTGCCCAGCCATTGAACAGAGGGCTTTCATCTGCACCTTCTCCAGATCATAATCATAGCTCATGTTTCAAATTTTAACTGCATTGAAATTGCTAGAATCCTTACAACAACTCTTAACAATCTACCCACTTTACAGTTGAGAAAATAGAGGCACAGAACCATTACATACATTTCCCAACATCCCATAGCTAGAAAGGAACAGAGCTGGTATTAATGCCCGGAGTCCACGCTGCTGACCACTGGCCATTGTAACCTCCTACAGACTCAGGTGAAAGGCAATCAAGGTCACGGTCAGAGAAAGGACTGGCTGAGACTGTGTGGAGGGAGAGAGAGAAATGAGTAAGGAGGATGAAGTAAGCTGGGCGCTGAGCCCTTAAAGCTCAGGGAGACCAAGAGCCTCACAGAGCTCAGGGTGGGGTGCTGTCGGTGCTGGGGGGGAGATGGGGCAGGAACGAGGAGCCCACGGAAACGGCTGCATTGTCTGCAAGTGGACTCAGTCCTGAGGAGTCCCACTGCGTAGTGCAGGCCTTCCTCCTGCTGGTAGCAGGCAAGCACAGAGCACTGGCTTTGAGATCACTCTTACTGCCCTAAAAAAAAATTTTTTTAAACTTTTCATTGAAAATGTTGAGCTATCCAGACAGGTAGTTTACAAGCCCTCATCGGCCCATAGCTTAGACAAAGATCTTCCATCTGCTGATTCACTCTCAAGTAGACGCAACTGCCGTAGCTGAGCCAATCCAAAGTCAGGAGCCAGGAGCTGAGCCATTTAGGGGAGTTAAACAGAAAATGGAGATCTTTCTGTCTCTCCTTCTCTCTCTATAAATCCACCTTTTTAATAAAAATAAATTTTATGGTCTCAGCATGATAGCGTAGTGGCAAAAGTCTTCGCCTTGAACATGCTGGTATTCCATATGGGTGCCATTTCTGGTCCTGGCGGCCCTGCTTCGCATCCAACTTCCTGCTTGTGGCCTGGGAAAGCAGTGGAGGACGGCCCAAAGCCTAGGGACCCTGCACCCGCGTGGGAGACCTGGAAGAGCTCCAGGCTCCTGGCTTCAGATCAGCACAGCTCTGGACATTGCTGCCGCTTGGGGAGTGAATCAGTGAATGGAAGATCTTCCTGTCTGTCTCTGGTCCTCTCTGTATATCGACTTTTTAAAAATTTTTAAAAATCTAAATATACGAGGGTTGGCACGGTAGCATAGCATGCTAATCCTGTGCCAGTGGTTCCAGCTTCCTGCTTATGTACGTGGGCCCCTGCACCCAGTTGGGAGACCCAGAAGAAGCTCCTGGCTCCTGACTTTGGATCAGCTCAGCTCTGGCCATTGCGGCCACTTGGGGAGTGAATCATTAGATCTTCTTCTCCTCTCTTTCATGCTATAAATCTGACTTGCCAATAAAAATAAGTAGATATTTTAAAATGGCCTAAAGATCTATGTTTAAAATACAATCAAATATAGTCTCCCCAGAATCCTACCGCCCATTAGCTACAGTAATGTGTTAGAATCCTTTACTTGTCGCAGCTTATGAGCGTTCTCCAAAATACAGCTTGAAAGAATTACACGGTGAGCACCTTCTAAACCCACCATTGGACTGCACCTCCAATCCAGATCCAGGTTAACATCCCTGGGAGAGCAGAAGAAAATGGCCCAGCTGCTTGGGCCTCTGTCTTTCACATTGGAGATGGAGTTTCTGGCTTCAGTCTGGACCATTTCCAACCATTGTGGTCATTTGGGGGCGTGAACCAGCTGATGGGAGCTCTCCCTGTGTCTCCCTTTCTCTGTAACTGTTCCTTTCAAGAAAATCAATCTTCAAAAGAACTTGAGAGGGTTAGGGAATCTTTTCCTCAGATGACCGCAACAGTCAGAACTGGGACAGGCCAAAGCTGGATGCCAGGAACCGTGTCCTCGTCTCCCATGAGTGTGGCAGGGACTCAAGTACGCGAGCCATCCTTGCTCCTTCCCAGGTGCCTTGGCATGAAGGGAGCTGGATAGAAAGCAGTTAGCTGGGACTCTTAGCTGATACTCTGAGATGAGACGCTGGCATCTTAAGCAGAGGCTTAACATGTTACACCGCAACATCCACTCTCCCCCTACCCCTTTTGCTTGAGGCAAAATCTCCAATGCAGGCGTGATGGCAGGGACCCACTACTCGAGCTGTCACCTGTGGGTTCACCACGTGTTCACCGGCAGAAGGCTGGAGTCAGGAGTGGAACTGAGACTTGAGACTTAAACCCTCACAATTTAACACAGGGCACAGGCATTCCAGCCTGTGTCTTTTTCTTAAGATTTTTTTTTTTTTTTTTTTTTTACTTATTTGAAAAAGTTACAGAGAATGAGAAAAAGAGACAGGGAACTAGAGCTTGCATCCACTGCCGGATTCCCCCTGCAGCCTCGTTGGGCAGGGCGGAGCCAGCCTGTAGCCAGGACCTTTAGCGAGTCTCAGGCTACAGTGGCCCAAACACTTGCACCATCTTCTGCTGGTTTTCTTAGGCCACTAGCAGGGAGCTGGATACAAAGTGGAACAGCTGGGACTCAAAATGGCATGTTCATCAGATGCTGGCCTTGGCAGACAGTGACTTAACGTGCTATACTGTAACACCAGTGACTCTCACTTCCCCCTGCAACCATTGCCTTAACTCCCAGGCCGCACTCCCAACCCTAAAGTTGTTGTTTTAATTTCACTTGCCATGAATTAATGCAAGTCCCCTCATGTATATTTTTGAAACAGAAATGGGATAGTATGTCTAAAGTATGTTCTTTTCAATTAGCGGATTATAAACATCTTTCCAGATCATCAGTGTTTCTTTGTAGTAGTGCCATGCCAGCCTGTTTGATTTTTACCTGACTCCTTCTTATTGAACAAGGTGTTGCCCAGAGTTCACGCTAAAGAGCACCGCAACTGGGCATGCGCACAGCTAATACTGAATCACATCCTTCATTTTTCATAAAGTGGTTCCAAGGATGTCATCAAACTTCTCATACTATAAGGAGACTTTGGGCATTTGGCATGTGGATGCGGAAGGAGATTAGAAGAGGCCGCATGGGAAGCCACAAAAAGGCTGGGTCCCATTCCTAGAGAACCCTAAACGCAGCCGCACTAGCAGAGAGGCCCTGGAGGCTGCGTGGCGCACGGGAGAGGCAGAAGACAGACAGCGGGAAAGGGCGGGCACACTGACTAACCACTGACTCGCATTCCAGACAGCTGACTGGGCACTTTATCCGTCTCCACAGTTACTGCTCGCAACGACTCAGAGTGGTAATCATCTCCCTGTACAGATGAGAAAATAATGACAAACTGCCCTCTGATCGCAAGCTTGACCTCCATTTACTGAAATGCTTTGTTGTGTATCCTAGACACATTCTGACACATACACACACCCTCACCCTCTACCTGAGCCTAGCACTCCCCTGGAGGAAACATTCCCACCAGGCTGCCACCCCAAATTCAGGCTGAGGTAGGTCCCCGCCTCCGAGCTCCTAGAGCGGGCTTTCAGCTTCCACCATGCTCATCTCACTTGTGTCCCTTTATACTAGACCAGGTGCTCTGTGGGGACAGGGGCAAGTTCCTGGCACAGGGACCAGAAAGCATTACTGAGTAGTGGATACTTTGATCCTGATATATCTGGAAAAAAAGAAAAAAGAAAGAAAAAAAGCAACACTTGCCCACGGTTACACCACAAGAGTATCCAGCAAAGCAGCAGAGGGTCAAAGCCCAGGTCTGTCTAATGCCTGAAGTTACCACTGCGATTGCGTTGTATTGGCCTGCCTAACCCACACCTTTCTTTTTCCACCCCTTCTCCAAAAGGACTGAGGAGGAGAAGAAAGACTGGGTCCAGGTAACCTCCAGGAAGGCTTTGTGGTAGGGGGCTGGCTGGGGTGTGGGGAACCCTCAGAGACTGACTTATAACCAGGATGGGCCTAGACACATGCCTTCCACCAAACTTGACCATGCCCATTTGACAACTAAGCACACTAAGATGCAGCAGATGTAAACTAGAACTTGCAAATCCTCTTAGAAAGCTGCCTCCCTTGGTTATAATCCCGGTGAGTCAAGCCCTGTAAGACCTTAAGTCAAAGCGGCAGCCAGGAAGACCAACTAAGGGCTGCAGCCACGCTCCTTATCTCTCCTGAGACTGAGGCCTGGATTTGCAAAGCAACTTGCTCAAGGTCGTGTGCCTCTTGGGAGCAAAGCTGAGCCAGAACCCAACGTCTTTGACTCTAGGCAAAAACTAAGGAAAGGTGAGGTGAGGGTGGAAATGGGTGGCTTGCAGTGTGGCGTGACCGCTCATTTCTTCCACCTGCTCCCCAGGCCATCAACTCCACCCTCCTGAAGCATGAGCAGACGCTGGAGACCTTCAAACTATTGAACTCCACAAATCGGGAAGATGAAGACACGCCACCCAACTCTCCGGTGAGCGGCCCCACACATCTCCCCTCACATTGACCCTCAGGTTTCCACTTGACCTTGAGATAATCTACCTTTCCCAGAGAGACAAAGCATGACCTCCCAAGTGCAATCTTCTCTTGCCAGGGCCATCAAATAGAAATGACGTGGCCTCAGGAGCGCAGGGAAGTAGGGGCAGAGCCAGGACTCCAGGGCAGGTTTTCTGAATTTGACCACAAGTCCCCCTCGCTCCTCGAGATGATCTAGACCTTGAAGGAATGAGCAGGGGCTGGCTGGACTGGGCTGGGGAAGAGATATCTCTGACCTGGGACCTGACCTTGCCCCTAGAATGTGGATCTCGGGAAGCGGGCACCCACGCCCATCCGGGAAAAGGAAGTTACCATGTGTATGCGCTGCCAGGAGCCCTTCAATTCCATCACCAAACGCAGGCACCACTGCAAAGCCTGTGGCCACGTGAGTGTAGGAAGGCAGGCACGTGCCGGGAGGGGGTGGGGCACAGGCTTGATAGCCTGAGCGGCCACATACTGGGATACCCTCCAAGTAAAGGGAGGCAACAAGACTGGTGTGGGAGTTGGTACCTCAAAGGGGAAGGCCTGTTGGAATCAGGCTCTTCTTGCCCACTTGCCACCCAGGTGGTTTGTGGAAAGTGCTCCGAGTTCCGGGCCCGCCTCATCTATGACAACAACCGCTCCAACCGTGTGTGCACAGACTGCTACGTGGCCTTGCATGGGGTGCCCGGGAGCAGTCCGGCCTGCAACCAGCATACACCCCAGCGCCGGAGGTCCATCCTGGAGGTAGGCCCCAACTCCCACAGTGCTCCAGAGGGGCCCCAGTCACCCATCCAGTGATGGAAGAAGCTGGGACATCTTCTAAGATAGTAGGTGCTCTGTGCACCTGCTCATCAAGTGGCTCAGGCTAGCAGTGAGTGAAAGGAGTGCAAGAATGAGTGAAAGTGAGTTTTATTGAAATACTTTACACAATCCTCACAGTGCCTGGAGCGCCCTTGCTGTTACCACCCATATTTCACAAATGAGGAGAGTGAGGCCTAGAGTGGTCACTTGTCCGAGTGCAGAGCTGTGATTTTTTTTAAATAAACAGATAACACAATATTAACAATAATAAAAGACCATATTGCATCAACCCACGAGTCCCCACTGTTAACATTCGTCTCTCTAGGCGTGTGCACATACATATTTTTCAGGTTTTTTTTTTAACAAATGAATGTATTTAACACTTAAAAAACATTTCTGTGCCAGAAACTACTGTAAATGCTTTGCATGTACTAACTCATTGGACCCTAACAGCACTCGGTGCTCTGCTTCCAAGTCAACACATTCCCATCTGGTGCTCAGACTCCCAGTTCAACCTGAGCAGCGGTGCTAGACGGCCCCTGGCTGGAGTGTAGGCAGTAGATGTGCGATGATGAAAGACGAAGGCAGGGTGAGGTCCAAATGTGTGGCTGACTTGGGAATAGAGACACTGAATGAAGGAAGAATGCCTCCCTGGCACTTACACACTGCAGTGCCGCTTGGTGACAGCCCTTCTGCCAGCTCTTAGGGCCGGCAGGCAGCTGCGTCTCCATCCCGGGGTGACACTGCACAAATCGCCAGTGCATCTTCAATCTGAGACATGGAAATAGCAATCTATTCCAGCGGCGGGGGGGGGGGGCGGTTTAAAGGCAGGAGGTGCCAGACTGGGCCTTCTGTCAACACGGATGCCTCACGCGTGTCTCTGGCCACAGAAACAGGCCTCCGTGGCCGCCGAGAACAGCGTCATCTGCAGCTTCCTGCACTACATGGAGAAGGGTGGCAAAGGCTGGCACAAGGCCTGGTTCGTGGTCCCCGAGAATGAACCCTTGGTGCTGTACATCTATGGAGCCCCTCAGGTATGCATCCTGCTCCTTCCAGGTCTTGGCCACAAGTGATAAGGTGAGCCTAGCCTTAAGGGAACCACAACCTCCATCCCTGAGACAGGCTCATTAGACACAAGGGGCGATTGTGGGCCAGGAATGGAGAGAAAATTGGGGGGTGGGGAGGGAGCATGGGAGTAGGGAGTGGTTGACTAGCAAGTTAGTTCCAGTCGGAGGGGCAAGAGCAATGCAGATGGGGCCAACAGTCTAGGCAAGGGACTGGAGACATTATTTCATAGGTGGGAGACTAGCCCAGTTGGTTTGGGGTGTGGGAAAGGATGTGTATTTTGACTAGCCTACAGTTCAGGCATCTTATTGGTAGCAGTACAGCTATGGAAGATTCTTGAGCAGGGCAAGGAAAAGAGGGAGGCAGATGCGAAAGCAGATGGAGGCTGGGGTGCCGGGGAAGGCCCAGCCACAGTGACGGTAGCTCCTCCATTCCTCTTCTGCAGGATGTGAAAGCCCAGCGCAGCCTGCCCCTCATTGGCTTCGAGGTGGGACCTCCCGAGGCAGGGGAGAGGCCTGACCGACGGCATGTCTTTAAAATTACTCAGAGCCACCTGAGCTGGTACTTCAGCCCTGAGACAGAGGAGCTACAGCGACGCTGGATGGCCGTGCTTGGCCGCGCTGGCCGTGGGGACACATTCTGCCCAGGCCCCACACTGTCCGAGGACAGGGAAACCGAGGAGGCACCTGTGGCAGCGTCCGGAGCCGCTGCAGAACCGCTGGAAGCCCCCCAGACCCGAGACAAGACCTAGACGGTCTGGGGCAGAGGGGGCAGCCCGGTAGCCCCTGCCCCACACTCTAGCTGCCCAGATCTGATGGCGGGGGCAGCGCCCTCCCTCCCAGCTCAGTCAGTCCTTGAACTCCCATCGCGGGCCTTTTGATCCGCTGGGCCTTGGGTTTTTTAATTCATCTTTTCACAAAACGTGGGCTTTTAAAAAAATATTCCTACAGTAATGTTCCTCTTCTTTTTTTTTTAATCCCTGTCCCCAGGGAGGTTGGGAGCCATTGCTAGAGCTCACCCAAACTAGCACAACCCCCCCCCCCGCACCCCAAAGCATCATGCCTCCACCCGATGTCCCCCACCTCCTCCCAAAAGCAACAGGGGCAGGAGACCTGCATTCCAGTGCCAGCCCTGCCACCTCAACCACTGTTTCCACCCATGTGACTCCGCATGAGGGGGTAACCAGACCCTTGCTGCCAATCCCATGCCTTCTGCTTCCACCCGGCCTCAAGGCTACCCAGTATTTTCTCGTCCAGACCCATGGCAGGGCCACCGGGCAGGACAGGGGGATGGGGTGGGGGGAGGACAATGGATACTCTTTGTTTTGTTTTTGTTTTTTTAAGGAAAAAAATACAGTTTATTTCAGGCTTACAGTAACTTCCAGAGCACTGCCGTGTGTGTTTGTCCCCAGTACCAGGCTGCTCAGGCGGGCCCAGAAACCGCTCTCTTGCTGAACTCCCAAGTTCAGCTCCCAGAAGGCTGCTTCCAAGGTTACTCACAGGCCAAGCCACAGAGTCAACAATAAGCTAGCGTTTATTAAGTTCCTAGGCCACATCCCTGGACTTCAATGGGATGCATGAGCACGGAGAAAGAAGTTGGAGGAGAGAGCAAACAAAGCCCCAAGCTCCCAAGCTCCCCACTTAGCCAAGGCCTTGGCATCCCCAAAGAAACCCCAGCTGGGAAGCTGGGCTACAGAAAGGGAGCACTGCCGGGAGGCGCGGGGTGCTGGGCAAGGGTACACAGCTGCTGGGGAGAGGCTGAGGAAGGCGAGGGGAGAGCGGGCCACACTACGTGCATTGCAGCTATTGTCATGTGCAACTCTTACATGTTCACCTCCCCCTTCCTGGTCCAGCCAGGCCCTCAGTGCCAAGTCCCAGTTCTCTTTCTGGTCCTTGCTCTTCATAAATCCACCTGCCCAGGGGCAAGCTCAAGCTTCTGCTCCAGCCACACTACACTCATTCACGCCCTCCCCTCTACACTGCCTTCACCGGCGAGGCACTATGCTGGGAAATGGGGCCTCCAGACGCAGAAGGTAACTTAAGGCCTGAGGGGATGTGGTTGGCTGGGTCCTATCACCCACGGGGACCTGGAGCGAACTGGACAGGGGAATGAAGGAGAGGCTGGGGAAAGGGTAGCCAGTCCAGCAGTCAAAAACCCTCCACAACCCTCCCCACACACACATAAGGAAGTCTCAAAAACACTTAGCAAATCAAGGGCCCAAACCAGCTTCAGCCCTGCTCATTTCTTTCTTCGGACAATGGTCCAGCCATCTTCCACTATGTCCTCTTCCTTAATGGTGGGCACACTTGGATCAGTGCGTTCAGGCTGGGGGCGAGCCTCTCCAGGAACACCTGCGTCACTTGTCGCCGTGACCTGGTGGGGAAGCAGAGGGCAGCCCTGAACGTGCCACCCCTGGAGAGCCAGGCTCAGCTCCCAGCCTCTGCTCGCTCGCTCGCTCGCTGAGGGCACTGACCCCAGTTAAATTCCCCACGCTCTTAACGCAATATGCCAGCAGCCCCCATTCGTCACTTTTCTGTGACCCCAGATGCTTTCCCAGCAAACGGAAACCATCTGTACCCCACTTCACACTCCAAAGCACCCCCTTCACCTCCATCTCTTCCACACTGTCCACATCGGCTTCAATCTCATCAGCTTCTTTGGGGGCGCTAACGGCGGTGGCCGTGACCTTGCACTTTTTCTGTGCGATGTAGGAGGCCATCTCCTTCAAGGCAGCCCCGTCGCCCCGCTGGAAGTGGCAGAACAAGGTCTGCAGCTGCTGGCTCACCTGCCAAGAAAACATTCAAGCAAGCTTGCATCTTTCTGGCAGTCTTCCACAGATGCAGCCAGTGGCTGGCCAGAGTGGGAAAGGGAAAGGAATTTTCCAGCAGAGAACGGGGCTCCTGCCTGCCCCCACACCCAGTAGCTGACCAGTGAAACGGCCACACGCAAAGGCTTCTAGCACTAAAGGAAGGGAGAGCAGTCCGGTCATGGGGACCTAGAATAACCAGGGCGCAAGCAGACAGGTGGGCCTCGGATGGGACCGAGGGCCAAGCCTGGCTGGCAAGGGCCTACAGAGAGAGAAAACGACAGACGCAGCATTTGGAAAAACCTAAAAAGATCCGATTCCACTAAGCATAGAGTGTCAGATTTGATGCACAGCCCAAGAGAATGGTTAGAGCGGAGGCCCTTGAGCCAAGGCCAACAGCTGAGGCACAGACAGTGCGCGTGGGACCACAAGCAGCTCACCTGGGGCAGGCTGCCATCCTCCACGACCGTATCAAACTCGTTGGTCATCAGCTCCCCAAGGAAGTCCTCCACCTCCTCGAGCTCCAGGTCAGCTGAGAAGTAGGAAAGCAAAGGGCCGGCTGGTCAAGAACCAGGCCAACCTCCTCGCCCCTGCCCACTACTATTCAATACCTACTTGGTGGCTCCACTTCTGGTTCGTGGGAAACAATGAGGCCCACACAATGAGCCTTTCGTTTGCTAAAATGCTCTGCATGGCAGGTTTTTAACACGATTTTTAAAAACATCTAATCAGCAATACCTAATTTTCAGTCTGCTGCATCCTGATTCCTGGCCTGCCCTTCACCCACGTACGTCTGGCCTGTTCTAACAGGCCTCCCCTCTATGAAACCTGGAGCAAGCTACTTAGACCTCCTTAGGCCTCAGTTTTCCCATCTGTAATGTGGGGTTAATCATGCTCTCCCAGAAGGTCTGTTAGGAGGAGCCATCCCATGTGGTATCTGGCACAGGGGCAATGCATGCAGGCTAGCTTCCAGCAGTCAAGGCCTGGAGGTCCGTACGAGGAGAGATGCTCCCCGCTGTGGCTCCACCAATACAGAAGGCTGTAGGCCAGCAGGCAAGCTGAGAAGAAACGGGCATGCTATCTCCAGCAATGCATTCTGCGCCTCCACAGCCCCAACCCCCTGTGGGCCTCTCTGGCCGAGCCCTCTCTGGCCTTCAGCTATTCCACCGATAATCGCTCTACATTTCTCCGAATTAGAAAATGAGTTGAGGGCCCGGTGCCATGGCTTAGTGGCTAAATCCTCTCCTTGCACACACCATGATCCCACATGGGTGCTGGTTCATATCCCAGCTGCCCCACTTCTCACCCAGCTCCCTGCCTGTGGCCTCGGAAAGCAGTGGAGGACGGCCCAAAGCCTTGGGACCCTGCACTCATGTGGGAGACCCGGAGGAAGGTCCTGGCTCCCGGCTTTGGATTGGCTTAGCTCCGGTCACTAGGACCACTTGGGGAGTAAACCAGCAGATGGAAGATCTTTCTGTCTCTCCTTCTCTGTGTAAATCTGCCTTTCCAATAAAAATAAATATTAAAGATAAAAAGACGGGAAAGTCTTCCACCAAAGTCCTTACACTCCCCCACACGTGCTGCTCCCTGGGAAAGCTCATCGACTCCCTGGGTTTTCCCCACCTCGCAAACCTAACAGCGTGGCTGCCTCCGCTGCCTCCTGGGGGCCTGGTTCACAGGTACCTTGGACGGGCCACACCCAAAGCGCCTTCTACTGCAAACAGCTGTTTCTCATCCTCTCGGGTTCCTCTATCCCCAGAAAGGCACGCAGGCCACCCAGCCGGGAAGTCAAACCACTCCAGCCTGCCTCTTTCCCCACCCCGTCCCCTCTTCAGCCAAGCCTTCTCCCAGGCCACCGCCCTACTTGGTGCCTCCATGACCTTGACAAAAGCAGCCTTCTCATCACGGGTCTTGCCCTCTCCAGTCTGTGCCCCATACTGGTTACTTTCTCAACTTTCTAGTCAGCAAAGCCCAGCCTATTACTCACCTTAGAACCTACCCATGAATTTTTATCACCGACTGCAGTGTTTCATAGTTTGCCTTTGAGAAATATCTGTTCTGCTGAGTTTTAAGGGAAGCTATCCATAGCAAGCTAATGGGAAACAAAGGTAAATAGGTTTCTTTTTAGTGCTTCTCATCCTTAGCCAAGCCTAGAATATGTTCATGAGTGTCGGGAGTCAAGCAGCAGGTGAAGAAAAGAGCTTTTCGGAACAGAATTTGCCTGGAGAAGCTTTTTCTTCGCTAAACATCTAATGGAATGAGTCTTTCTCAGCATGCATTTTGGAAACCCTGGCCTCAAGGCTGAAAACCAAGGCTCCGTGAGGCCTTCCAGGTCTTGCTCCCCCCGCATCCCCCCCATTGCATTCTATACCAGCCCACCCACACCCGTGCAAATACCCTCACTACAGTACTGGGGTCCCTGCCCCGCTGTAAATCTAACCCTTAGCTACTCACACCACAGAACTATTCGAGCATGGTTCACTGTGCCTCCTCAAGGCCCTTATATACTTATCATTGAAGTCCCAGCCCAGGGGCTAACCTTGTGGCACAGTGCATTAAGCTGCCATCTCTAATGCCCACATCCCATAGGTACACCTGTCCCAGGAGCTCCATTTGTGGTCCAAGTGTCTGCTAATGTGTATTGAAAAGCAGTGGAAGATGCTCCCAGCCCCCACCCACAAAAGAGGCTCCAGGGTTATAGCCTGGCTGAGCCCACCCATCTGGGGAGTGAAGCAGGGGTGGGAGATTCTCTCTCTCTCTCTCTCTCTCTCTCTCTCTCTGTAATGCTGCCTAGGAAATGAACAAATCTTTTAATAAAAAAAATGAGACTCAGACCTATCTCCACCTCCCCCAGTCCCCTGAGCTTTTATCAGAACAGCCTGTCATCCAGGGTTGTAACTGTGTATTCTCAGTGCTAGAAAATGGATGAGGAATTTTGTTTAGAAAAGAAAGAACAACAACAACTACACAACAGGTCTTCTTGCAGATCCGGTGTTCTTGCTTAACCCTTAAGGCAATGTTTGCTCTGCAGATCCCCACACGTCATTACTGACCAAACAGAATGGCGGAATGGCCCACGTCAGATGCGCTAAAATTGTAAAGTAATGGATGTGGACAATTTAGTACTAAAGAAAAAAAAGAGGTAAGACACTTTAATGGTATTTTGTAAAAACATATTGGAATAGCCTGAATATATTGACTTGGGTGTCTTATTATTTCAATCTGCTTCTTTTAAAGCAGCTGTTTAAAAGAAAGAAAGCTTTAAATTACAGGCTGTGACTCTCTTAGGACAGAGCCAGGAGGGATGTTTGGTGTCCAAGATGAAGCAAACGATTGAAAGAGCTGTAATATGCATTCGCCCCCAGGATCCCGACTGCAAAGACGGGGTTTACTCCACCTCGGCTTTAACTCTCCCCTCGGAGGAAGCGAGGGGCGCCCAGGGCTGCCTTGCTCCCATCCGTATCCCCACGACACTGGCAGACAGCTGCGCCCGCAGGGACACTCACCATTGCGCAGGAAGTAATCTTCCACCGCACCCCCCAGCCACTCGGCCTTCTCCTGGCTGTGCACGCCCCCGAAGCCATTGTCCACCGCGATCTGCGAAGACAGGCCCGAACCCACCACGTCAGCGTGCGAGCTCGGTCGGCTGGGACAGCTCTGGGGACCCGCCGCTTTTGACACCCGCACAAAGCACCTCAGGGAGTCTCGCTGCTCGAGCATCTGTTCCTCCCCGAGCCCTGAGCACGATCCTGCGTGCGATCGGCTCACCTGCAAGGCCGGCCAGGCTTCCAGCGCAGCGCGGACACCAGCCTTGAAGAGCGCTCGCACATCCTCCCCGGAGCCCGCCATCGTCGCCTCTGATCCACGTGACACCCGAGTGGCCAGATTCTTCAATGCTTCAGTCAAGGCAGAATGAGCCGAAGGCCGAGCCGGAGAACAGGCAATACAAAAGTATGTCAGAGCAATCGATGGCCCCGCCCCCTTCACCCTGGGGCGCTCCGGGTTTCATGGGAATTGACCAAAAACTCCGTGGGGAGCTTATTACAGATATGGAACAGATGCCACTCAGAGAGCATATTTTAAAAATTTGCATTTAACAAAAGAAATGATTTAAGTCCTTACCTGCAGCGCTGGCATCCTATATGGGCACAGATTCCAGTCCTAGATGTTCCAATTCCAATCCAGCTTGTGGCTTTATAATGTAGTTAGAGATGGCAAGATGCAGCAAATGCGGCACACGCCGCCACGGCCACCTGCACACACAGAACAAACAAAAATTAAAAATCAGAAGAAGCCAAACCTACGAACACCTGAATCTCAGAGGCATAGCTTCCAGAACTGTGACAAAAGAAGTGTTTGCTGTCTGTGGTGTTCTAGGCTTAACAAACTACTAATTTTTTTTAAAGATTTATTTTATTTTTATTGGAAAGTCAGATATGTGTATACAGAGAGGAGAGACAGAGAGGAAGATTTTCTACCCACTGATTCACTCCCCATGTGGCCACAACAGCCAGAGCTGAGCCGATCCAAAGCCAGGAGCCAGGAACCTCTTCCAGGTCTCCCATGCAGGTACAGGTCCCAAGGCTTTGGGCCGTCCTCCACTGCTTGCCCAGGCCACAAGCAGGGAGCTGGATGAGAGCAGGACTGCCAGGACACGAACCAGTGCCCATATGGGATCCCGGCGTGTTCAAGGCAAGGACTTTAGCTGCTAGGCCACACCACCAGGCCCACAAACTAGTAATTCTGAAAATATAAATAAATAAATAAATATTGAATTGGGTGCTTCAAATTGATGTACTTACAGTAAACAAAATCTAAGAGAGCTATTTCATTGGTTTCTTTGTTTTTACAACCAGGGACAAAAACAAAAAAAAAAAAACAAATCTCCCACCATTACTTCACTCCTCATGTGACTGGAACTGAGTTGATCCGAAGCCAGGCAGTGGGAACCTCCTTCTATGTCTCCTACATGGGTACAAGTGTCCAAGACCACCCTCCACTGCTTTTCCAGCCCACAAAGCAGGGAGCTGGATGGATAGAGTACCCAGGATAAGAACCAGCACCCATATGGGCTATCAGCACCAGAGACAGACACAGCATTCTATGCCACAGCACCGGCCCCAAAAAAGCAGTTTTCATAAATGTTAAGTAGGTGATTACCTCGCACTGCAAAGGTTGAGTTAGACTGACAAACACTCCTGACATTTCTGAGCTAGTCAGTGCATTCAAGCAGTTGACTCCTTGATCAAAGGCTGCTTAGCTACTATGTTGCAAGCCCAGAGTCAATACAGAGTCATGCCGCCGGTTAAGCTACTGCTGCTACTTCATATCACAGTGCTGCTTCAAGTCCCAGCTGCTTTGCTTCTGATCCCAGCCACGGCGCTGGGTCCACAATGTATTATTTGTAATATAAGTTTAAGACTGTTACAAAGGACCCAGCGCCATAGCTTAGTGGCTAAAGTCCTGGCCTTGCACCCACCAGGATCCCATATGGGCACCAGTTCTAATCCCGGCACTCCGCTTCCCATCCAGCTCCCTGCTTGTGGCCTCGGAAACTAGATGAGGACAGTCCAAGATCTTGGGCCCCTGCACCTGCATGAGAGACCCGGAGGAGGCTGCTGGCTCCTGGCTTAGGATTGGTGCAGTTCTGGCCATTGCAGCCACTTGGGGAGTGAATCAACGGATGGAAGATCTTCGTCTCTCTCCCCTTCTCTGTATATCTGCTTTTCTAATAAAAAATAAATCATTAAAAAAAAAAAAGACTTACCAAATTTTGGGGAAAATATCTTTGTTTTCCACGTGAGCTGTAACATTCAGAGTGCTCTAAATTTTATTGTGAAATGACAAATAAATACTCTTCAAATCGGCTGTGCTCAATAACCAGAGACTTGTAAGTGGCATGTATAGGGGCGGCCAGGAGATAGGGCTTGAAATTCATTCCCGTGCCATGCTGCAGTGACGTCCCACGGAAGTCCAGCAGAGGGCGACCAATCCAGTTTAGGGATTTGCTGCCTGCCACTGGGCGGAGATGATACCTGCGCTGATTCTCAACCTTCGAGCGGAATTTAGCTGGGTGGGGGATTGTGTGCGTGGGAGTGGGCATGTGTTGCGAAAAGGAGGAAAGAGAGTTTCTGGGCAGGCACGTACAGCAGGCGAGGTGGAGGCGACCTTGCAGCAGCACGCGGAGGACGTCATGAAGATTCCATCTAGCATCAGTGCACCGATTCGCAGACTTCATCCAGGCTTCCGGGAACCCGGCCAGGAACACGTGCTGGAGCGATACGTGTGCTGTGTGCTAGCCCGGATCGCAGCTCAGCTCACCTCTGGGCCTGCCAGCAGAGCTTTGGTGTGTCTAGAAGCAGGCAGGGAGAACATTCTGCTCCAAAAACAAGACGGCCGCACAGTGGCAGTGCCCAGAGGGCCTCTCAACAGCTCTCATCTGGGCTCCAGCAGCGGGTCCCAGGCACGTGATCCTACGGGGTGTCTCACCGGACTGGAGAAGTTCCACTAGCTAGGCCATCCATTTCATGCACCCGGCCATTATTCCATTTTTTTTTTCAAGATTTATTTATTTTATTGGAAAGGCAGATATACAGAGAGGAGAGGCAGAGAGGAAGATCTTCCTTCCGATGATTCACTCCCCAAACAGTTGCAACAGCTGGAACTGAGCCAGTCCAAAGCCAGGAGCTTCTTCCAGGTCTCCCACATGGATGCAGGGTCCCAAGGCTTTGGGCCATCCTCCACTGCTTTCCCAGGCCACAACCAGGGAGCTGGATGGGAAGTCGAGCTGCCGGGATTAGAACTGGTGCCCATATGGGATCCCAGCGCATTCAAGGCGAGGATTTTAACTGCTGCGCTATGGTGCCAGGCCCAATTATTCCATTAAAATGAATTGCTTTAAAAATTTGTTTTTATTTGAAAGGCAAACAACACAGGGAGAGAAGGAAAGACAGAGAAGGTTTTCTATCCAATGGTTCATTCCCCAAAATGACTATAAAGGCTGGAGCTGAGTGTTTTTTTTTTATTCTTTTGAGATACATCTTGTATTTTTAATAAGGTGGACATCAGTCCAGCAAAATGTGTAAGCCGCTGCCTGCAGTTACTGCATCCCAGAGCAGAACCAGGGTTCAATTCCCAGCTGCTGCACTTCCAATTCAGCTCCCTGTTTAGGGCAACTTGGAAAGCTGCATAAGATGGCCCAAGTTCTTGAGCCCCTCCGCGTCCCACTCATGGAAAACCTGGCTGGGGTCCCAGGCTCCTGGCTTCAGCCTAGCCCCGTCCTGGCCATCA